ATGGTACTGAGAGACCAATTGCGTTCACATCTCGTACACTGAGTGATACTGAGAAGAAGTATAGTCAAGTTGAAAAGGAGGGTTTGGCATGTGTCTTTGGGGTTAGGAAATTTCATTGTTACTTGTATGGTCATCATTTTTCCTTAATTACTGACCACAAGCCTCTACTATCTTTACTGGGTGGTCAGAAGCCTATTTCAAGTCAATCATCAGCTCGTATTCAAAGATGGGCATTGATTCTAGCAGCATATGAGTATGATTTACACTTCAAGTCTTCTACTAATCATGCTAATGCAGATGCATTAAGCCGCCTTCCATTAAGTGAATCGATTAGTAATACTCCCCTTCTACCAAAATTAATTCTTTTAATGGAGAACATAGCTAATAGTCCTGTTACTGCTAAAAGTATTGCTGCTGCTACTAAATCAGACTCTACTCTGTCCCTAGTTCTACAATATCTGAAGTCAGGATGGCCTGATAGCTGTCCTGATGATTCACTGAAGCCCTACTGGCATAGACAGCACGAGTTATCTCTGCATGATGGTTGCATTCTCTGGGCTTCTCGAGTTGTTATTCCAGCGAAATTTCGCCAACAGTTACTACTTGAATTGCATGAAGGTCATTTTGGCATCACTAAATTGAAAGCTAGAGCACGATCGTGTATATGGTGGCCTAATATTGATACTGCTATAGAGGAAATGGTAAAAAGTTGTTCTTCTTGCCAGGAAAATCATAATTCTCCTCCCGAGGCTCCCATTCATCCTTGGCCATGGCCATCCCGCCCTTGGTCCCGCCTCCACATTGATTTTGCTGGTCCTTTGAAGAATAACACTATGCTACTAGTAATTGTGGATGCATTTTCTAAGTGGATTGAAGTATTTCCTGTGTCTACAGTTACTTCATCAGCTACTATCTCTAAATTAAAAATGCTTTTTGCACAGTTTGGTTTGCCTGATACTATTGTCTCTGACAATGGCCCGTCACTCGTAAGTCAAGAGTTTAAATCATATCTCACTCAATATGGTATTCGCCATATTACATGTACCTCTTCACCATACCATCCTGCCTCTAATGGGTTGGCTGAAAGAGCTGTTCAGCTAGTCAAGAATGGTCTTAAGAAAGATGCTGATGGTACACTGTCTGAGAGACTAGCATGTATTCTCCTTAATTACAGGGTTATTCCTCATGGTACCACTGGTATTTCTCCCTCAGAACTGATGTTCGGACGTATTATTAAGTCTAAGGTGGATTTGGTGAAACCAGATCTTACCACTCGAGTAGAGAATAACCAGTATAAGCAGAAGGATTTCCATGATCAGCACTCTCGTACTAGGAAATTTTTAGTAGGGGAGGGAATAATGTATAGAAATTTTAGTGGAGATCCAAAGTGGAAACCAGGTAAAATTACTAAGTACCTTGGTTCACTATCCTTTTTGATTCAAGGAGATGATTGAACTAATATTAGGAGACATATGGATCATATAATTAAGAAGAAAGAGTCTATGGTACCCGAGGATGATTTTACACCATTCCCGAATACTCGTCGAACAACGGAGGAAACTCGTACTACTCGTTCTCCATATCCGACTCGTTCTCGTCGTCCTCCAAACTGGTACGCCCCTTTCCTTAATTAAGCTGGGGGGATGTAGTGACTGTATTTGCATACATGAGTTATTATTGTTATTGTTGTAATTATTATTGTAGTGTTATTGTTGTTACTATTATTGTTATTATTATTATTATTATTATTATTGTTGTTGTTGTTGTTAATACTAAAAATTGAGAGATATTATTATCATTATTACTATTGTTATTATTGGTTATTAGTGATTATGTTAGTTATGATTAGTTATGAGAGTGAGTGGTGAACATGTGTTCTGTTACTATATTTAGAATGTTAGAGAGTTCTTTTGTTCTGTTGTTATTCTATGGTTCTCTAGTTCTCTCTCGTGCTCTCTCCCTCATGTATTGATTTTCCTGGACATTCTCCCTCTCTTCTTCCTTCTTTTTTAACTTAAAAGTATAATTATAATAGTGTCAACTGTTGCACCAATACTGCGCTTTAGCAGCTGATAACACAGTGAAGGGAGTAAACATCACACTCCCATTCCTAATGCAGCAATTAACATTACATCATGATAGTATACAAATATTGTGAAGAAAGCAGTCCTGTCTCACCCTACTATATATACATGTATACTAAGGATACACAGCAATAATAACTGTGCTATTATTGTGGACACAGTGCATGCTAAACTACATTCAAGGATGGCAGTAAATGGTTTGTTTTTGTGTCTACAACTTTTTTTGTGGTATTCAAGTGCTGAACAGCTGAATGAACCCAACTTTGAGCAAGATGATGATAACACAACAATGAAAGGTTGGTAAGAAACATTTTTTAACTCATAATTTGCTCTATATAGTTCCATTTATATTACAAAATCCATTTCTCTATTATTTGGACTACAAGACAGTGTATGTGAACTGTTCTGTTTATGGAGAGTCTCCATTTGAAGTCTCATGGTTGTATAGTACTGATGAGATATCTAATAGATCCAGTGACTACACTATCATCAGTGGTAGTAAAGTGTCTAATATTGTGTACAATCCTAACTCTGATGATGAAGGATATGTGTGGTGGAACAGTTCTCTTCTTTTAAATCCTATTAATAACTCAACAGCTGGATATTACTACTGTAGAGTCAACACCTCATTTGGTCTAAACTATTCAAAACCAGTTTATGTCAGAAGCACTTGTAAGTCATTATTCAAACTAGTGAAATTAATGCAATAATTTCTATATGTAGATTTACCGAGGCTAAACTCCACAAGGTTTGTTAAAAGTGGTAACAGTGTGATTGGAACATGGAGAGTAAAAAGTTTTCCATTGCCAAATATTCTAATTTCATTTCAGTACTTGAGTAGTGGGTCTCTCAACCAAAAAAGAGTATACAATGACTTCATGACTGCCTATGTGTCAAACAACTTATACAGAAGAAGTCATTATTATACTTATGTTAATAAAACAAGTGATGATAGCCTGACTGTACATTGGAGGTATTCTTTCCATCAATTGTTTTCAATGCGACTAATAGCAATCAGTTATGATTACTTATCCCAAAAAGCATATCATCACAAGCTATATAATCATTCTGGTATAAATTTGTTGTATCAACTACAGTACTTATATCTTTTATTTTAAAGGTCAACCATATGTAAATTTTCTTACTCTATCTTTCACTGAACGAAAGGTCACCTTTACATGTCTTTGTGCAGAGTGCGATGGTATTGAATGGAGAAAAAACAATATACCAATACCAAAGAGTAGCTATGGTGTTGTTGCACTCAAGAAAGAGCTTTGGCCATATCACTCAATTAATCTGAAACACAGTACACTGTCAACTTCATACTATGATAGGTCTCACTATAGCTGCCACACAGTTCACTATCAAAGTGATATATTTGAAAATTCTCCAGCATATATTGATGTCCCATGTAAGTTAACTAGCATTTCTAATGTATTAGGAACTGTAAGCCATTTAAAAAATATTAATTTATGCATCATTACATAGTGTTATTATAATAATTTTGTAGTTTCAATGTTATTCTTTATATAAACATAGCTGCTGAAATTATTGAAAGTCCAAAAGCATCAACATATGTCCCTGGACAAACTTTCACTCAGAAATGCTCTGCTCGTAGTCTCTATCCAATGACAGTCATATGGTATGAATCAAGTACATTGTTTGCAATAAAAAAGAAAAAAGATTCAGATGAAACAGAAGGCCGTTACAATATATTGAACAGTACAATCAGTGTTGATGTCAGAATCTCCTTACCAAGACCACTTTCATTTTTCATGTGGTGTAGGGTCTATACATACATTTATTTTCAACCAGATAACTTTACTAAAGTACATGGTATGTATCAGAAAGGGCTACTATTTGAAAGACCAATAAGAACTACACCTTATACGTATACACCATATGGCAAAATGATAATACAATGTAAGTCTAATTTAAATTTAAATTTGTAAAGATCTTAAATTTCAATCATAAACAGATCCATCATCTATTAGCTCTAAAGTCACTAATATCACAATAAATGAAACTAAAAGGATGTATTTGTGGTGTTGTGCTACAGGTGCTCCTCAACCAACTATCATTTGGTACCACAATAACACACAGCTCCACTCAAACAGTTACTTGACAATAACTTATCCCTCAGTTCAAGAATCAGCAGTAATTATACTACAGACTAGATATGAAAGAGATAAGGGAACATATACATGTGAAGCTAAAAATGGTGTCACTAATTTGATCAATGCTAAACAATCCCACAATATAACTGTGAACATTCAAGGTACATATATTATTGTTGCTAAACAGTTTACCTTAAACTATTAATTTAAATACACTAATTTTAGTGGCTCCAGAGATTGAACTACCACAAAAAATAACAGCTTATGAGAATGAAAATATTACTATTACTGTAAAAGTAATAAGGGCCCATCCTCCTGTACTGCCTGACCACATATCATGGACATGTACAACCAGTAATGGAAGTGCAAGAGCAATGAATCAAAGTATTGTGGAAGGATATGATAGCAGATTCAACATCTCAGAAGATAACAGAAGTCTTTATATCTCTGATCTAACAAGTGATGATGAAGGATACTATCAAGTATTAATATGGCATCCAGCTGGGTATAAGAATAAAACAACCTATCTTAAAATAAATACTATACCAGTGGGTACAGAAGGTAGGAAGATAAAAAAGTTGAATAAAGACTGTTAATTTTAGTAGAAAAACCATCTACTGCTTCATCTACTACAAATTCAAATGGATTGATCATTGGTACAGCTTTAGCATCAGGGTTTGCACTAATGGCACTGTGCCTCATAGTGTTGGGAGTCATTTGTATAAAGAGGCACAAAAGTAGAACAGAACCTATGATGGCATTTGAAATGGAAATTCGGTAAGTATACATGTATATTGTTTGTGACTTTCATTTAATTTTAGACTGAGGCCAATGTTAACTTCCTCAAACAATGCTGAAAGTAAGTTGAATAGACTCCACATGTATAAAATGCATGTTTGTATAGTTTGCTTGAACAAGATTGATCAAGAAGTTTTGAAAAACATTCCTTATGCTTTGTTAATGAAGAAAACTCACTTAAAGATACTGGATTGTGTTGGACAAGGTTAACAAATAAAATTCTTTCATTTATCATATGAAATTCATACAGGTGAATTCGCTAAAGTATACAAAGGCCATTACTATATTGACAGCCAATGCATTACAGTTGCTGTTAAAGCACTTAAAGGTATAGTAATATTAAGTTCATGTTGATTTTGACACTGTCTGCTATACAGGAACATTGGACAGATACAGTAGTGAAAGTATGAAAGAATTAATTGAGGAGAGTCTAGTAATGAAGGATTTACAGCATCCTAATGTAATGGGATTAATTGGTATATGCTTAGATGCTGGACCATCACCACTGATTGTACTACCATATATGGAAGGTATAAAGCTTACAACTACATTGTGCATATTATGAATAATAGGTGGTAGTTTGTTGAAATATTTAATAAAAAATCGAGAAAATTTGATGGCTTGCACATCTACAGATGATGATGAGGTATCAATAATGCATACAGCATATAG